CATTAAGTTTCTCCCTGCCCAGCTCTCCAGATTGTTGTGGTGAGTGTCACTGTACAGAGTAAGATTTCTCCTTCCCTTTAATAGTGTCACATCTTAAAAACAGTCTTACATGGGGAGTGTGTAGAAAATATGTGGGTCTCTGCTGCACAGCTGGTGGAGCATTTTTATGTTCATCTCATTATCTATCCAGGACTGGTAAACTGCTTGTGGAATGGTGCTGGTATGATGCTCCAGCCTGCTAAAGGCCAAGCTTGGTGGACTGGAGAATTCTGTTCTTGGTTTTAGTCCCCTGCCAGCCACAGCAGCACAGCTGAGTGGTACATCTGTCTACTTCGCCTTGGAAGGGAACCACAGGCAATAATGTTAAGACAGAATATTTAATATGGAGTTAATGTGCCATTGACTTTCTGTTCCTTTTCACTGCATCTTTTGGAGAACAACTTAAAAGTTACATCACATACCACTAGCTAAGCAGCTGCATAGCCATCTCTCCACATCATGAAAAGCAAAGTCTGAAAGCACTTTGCATAATGGCCTCTTCTGCCTGCCTCCTCCTAACTCCTCAAACTTTATTCCTGTCCATACCATGTGAATAAAATAATAGCTCCCCGCACACCACCCTCCCCCCCGTCTCACAATGTACAATGTACTGTATCTTTTCCTGAGATGAGACATTTGAATGAGGTTCAGCTCTTAGTAGTTCTAATCTGTCACCTTTCTGTTAAGAGCTTGGAACACTGTAAATGGACAGAAATTATCTGACAGATCCTAATGCCAATAGCCAGCATGGGCAGAAAAGAGTGTTATCAAGTTAGGAAATCAGAAAAACCGTGAAAACAAAGTACCTTAAAAAGAAAATTCTGTTATTTGGGAACTTCCCCCTGCCCAGAATTCATTGTATCAGTAGTTCATTTTGGAGCATGTTTTTTCGCATCCTCTTGTAGCTACGCTGTAGATAAAACAAAGTGATTGAAGAGGGTAATGATGAGGCAAATTTTATTTCTTTATAACCCTCTTTCTTTGTGTGTACTTTGCCATAGTCCTTTACTGAATTTTTTGTGATAAAATCTGTGGAACAAGTTAAAAAATTAATCTTATCCAGGAAATGGTCTAACTTTTTATAATGGTTTTCAGTAAAAATACTTTTATAAAAAACAGATTCTACAGATTTTCGTGTTAATTATTCAATTATTATCTTGGTATATTATTTCTTTATTAAAAGTTTGATTCTCTAATAAAGTACATTGAAGGTATGCTAGTTACTTTTGTACTATTCATGAATTTTCTATGTAGAGGTACAATACTTGTAATTCCATTATTTGCATTAGTCACTATTTAAGAGTGGACACATAAAATTAAAAACATTGACTTGTAAGTACTTGTATGTGACTTAACTAGTTGTGTGATTTTTTTTTTCCCTTGATATACAAATTAAGCTGCTTGTCATTGTTTTTGGGAATAGGTAGATGCCTGAGGTCAGTTCCAATGCCATCTTTCAGTTAATTATTTAACACCTTTAAGCAAGATACTTCAAGTGTCTTATGTTTTGGGGTTTTTTTTTTTAGATCTGATCTTTTTTTAAACAGATTTTGTGAACTTAAGTGCATGCAAAAATAAAATTATTTTCAGGTGCTTTCATCCTAGGAGGAAACATCTTGTGGTCAGTTTGCAACGTGAGTCATAAAGGTTACTCAACACTGTTGGCTTGTTTGTTCTTCTATTGACTATTCTACATTAAACTACTTAAATATTTAATAATTTTCCTTTTTTTTTTTTTTTTCTCTGTTAGCATGGAGGAGTCTATGTAAAAAGAAGTGCCAAATTCAATGAAAAAGAAATGAGAGATAAGCTGCGGGCACAGGTGAAAGCTGAGACTCCGGTAAGATTATACCTTCATTCCCCCTCTTTTCCTCATTTCTTTGACTTTTTTAATGACAAAGGTATATTGGAGGAATGAGCCCTGCCTGATATTTACAAACTACAAGATGATAATAATGGATTTGTTTTCTTTCTGTATTTTTACAGTTACTTTCTGTGATTAGAGTGATACCTCTGACTAAACTTAGGACAATTTGACTAGTCCTTTATGAATTATATGAACTTCATGATTCTGTCTGTAGAGGGCAGGGAGGATCTGGACTAAATCTTAGAACGTGAGCTGTAGCACCTTCCTTGAGAAACCACTGTCAGTGTTCCCTGTTTCAAAAGACAATATTTTGACTACTGTATGCTTGTCAGAGACTGGTATGTTTGTAGAATACCACTTGTTTGGTCTTCTGAAAGTCAAAAAGCACTCTTCCCAAATCTTAGTTAGTCATCCCAGTGATCGATCATTTTTAATGGCAGTGACATCTTAGAACTGAGTAACTTTTTCTGCTACGCTTGGAGGAGGGGAGAAAAAAAAAAAGAGCCTGAACTCTTGATAATTTTCTATTTGAAGAATGATTGTTAGTGCCAAGTGACTTTTCTCATGACTCCCTGTATGGTTTGTGGCTCAGTGGTTAGAATCACTGTGCTTCGCTTCCATTACTTGCTGTGCTTTAAAATGTTTTCTGACTTCTTGGCTAGACTTAAGAAAACCAACTCAGCAAGCCTTGATATAGAACAGTTACGCTTGCATTTTATTTAAAAGGATGTGATTAGGACTTGCCACTCCAAATACTAAGTGGCAAACATTTATAAACTAAGGCTTGGGTAAAAGGAATGCATAGGTTGTTTTGACCTTTATAATAGTAATCTTTATTATTATTATTTTTTGAGATAACGTGTTTATGTTTGTGCACGTGTCTGTGTGGAAAAGTAAACTGCCCTTAGCTGACTGAGGGGCTTAAATGAGTCAAGCCTCCCTGTTTAAGGCAAAGATGCTACTTTCTGTAAAACTTGCAGTGTAATGGCATAAGCAAAGACAAGTTTCAGGGTGTATGAAACATATCTGTAGTCTTCCCCCTAAGGAATTCCTCCCCCATCAGAGTGCTGGTTAAGTTTGCTTTAGTTAGCCTGGATGAAATATCCTAGCAGGGTGTTTCCCTGCATAGGCCCATGGATTTCTTGCTAGCCAAAGAGGCAGCTTCTGCTTGAGTCCGGCCTTCTGGCTACCTCTGCACCCCTTAAAATGCAGGGGTTTGTTGTAATAATAAGATTTTTATTGTGATAAGAGTCTTGATTTAAACTCTGCATTAAATTAGTCTCCTTTATAGAATAAAATATATTTTTTTAATACAATCTTAGGAGATGTGAATAGAAACATATCTAATTCTGCATGTCCTTGGAAACCTGTAAGTGACGTTCAGTGTTGCTGCAGTGCTATAAACTGACTGGCCAGGGTAGTGTGTGATTTTTAGCCCAGTTGGAACGTAAGGGGAGGTTTAAGCATCAAGCTTTTCTTTAAAGCTACATCTGCTGTGGGTTCTGCTTTCCATGGTGGATGTCTACATGTGATTCATAATTTGAATAAATCCAGAAGGCTTTTTTTATGGAATCATCTTTCTTCTCCCCCCTCAGTTGTATGTGTATTAAAAACTTATATCTAACCTACCTAAGCTAATGCCAAATGAATTTGGGACCACTTGGGTACATTTGTGTTTTGGTGTAATTTGGCTTTCTGGAAGTTCAGTGGTGTTGGAAATGGGCACAGAACCTGTATGTGCTTAGCTGTCAGTCACTGCCATTTTCCTTGTATTATCTAGTGTAGCAATATAGAAGAGAAATGAGTGTAACTGCTGCAGAAATGCATTCTGGTTTAGATCGCTCTCAGTCAAACCATATAGGGAGTGACCCTTAAGTTTTACAAAACCAAAGCTGTCAAAAGCCTATGTACTGAGACAAATGTTTGCATCTGCTGGGGTAAAAAGATACAGACCATTGAATTGTCATTTGAGAGGAGACTAAACTTTCTATAATCCACTTTATCTGAGAATTTAAATGTAGATGCCGTAAATGCCCTTTAACCTACAATTACTGCTGGGAGAAAAAAGTGATAACCTGTGTCCTTACTGCATTATTCATGAAGAAACTTTGCAGTTCTGCAACTTACCGTGACATTCACAAGCATCCATATTGCTTTTAAAATAAAGACATTTTAATCAGTAAAGCAAGTATGCCCTGAACTCATCAGCTTATTGCAAAAATAATGGATTTACTACTCTGGAATTTTTATTAAAATTTATGCACTGGATGCTGCAGCTCAGGGTGGGCTTTTCCTCAGTTTAGTGAACAGCTGTTGTTACTTGATCATTTGTGCAAATATGGTGGAGTTCTTTCTTTAATGCAGTTTTAGAGAAAAGCCTGTCTTTCAGCTGCTAAGGGAAGAATTGTATGCCAATAGAGAGGAGATGGACAGAAATATGTGTTAAGGGTCCCTTTGTTATTTACAATTGCTCTCCACATACAGTTTAAACAAAAGAATACAAATTATTAATGCTCAGTCTGTCTGAAGCCATCCCTGTTCCCATTAAGAAACTGAAGACATGTAGGAAGGCAGAACTAGTCTTCTGTTCTCCTTAGAGGGGCAAGGCTTTTAGCTGTTTTACTGTCTCCTGTTACGTGGTGGTTTTTTGCTGGTTTGTTGTTTTGGTTTGTTTTGTTTTTTAAAAAGTAAATTGGAGATGGAATGTGAACAGGGAAAAGAAGACTGCCTCTTACATTCACAGTAGAACTAGATTAATGATCTGGTATACTTGATTTTGTGTAGGGACAGTGGACTGCATGGTGCTCCTTGCTCACCTTGTCTCATGCCTTCTACCTACCTGCCCTGAACAGCCCCTTTTCCTGCCCTCCTGTTCGGAGTTGGTCCACCCTGCTTCCCAGATGCAGCAAAACAGTGTTAGACATGTACAAAACTCTGATGCTAGACTGAAACGCTTCAGCACCTGTGTTTTCTTAGTGGAGATCTTGAACTAATAGATTTTCTTATTTCTGGAAATTACTTTGCTTCTCAGTCACTGAAGTATGCACTCAAACGCTTCGTTATTGGGCCTTTTGTTGGCAGAACTCACTTGAAACGATGTGATTTTATTTAAAATTGCATAAAATCTGGATGATTTAACAAATTGCAATCTTATGTGTTGTTGTGAGAGCAGAGACTGTCACAGGGTTTGAAGGACACTTTTGAGTTGATGTTGTTTTAATGTAAGCCATAACAAGATAAATGCATTTCTCAATGCAACAATATGTCCAGCTGACACTTGATACTCTCGATCTGCTTCTTTTATAAAGAAAGTTAACTCTCTTGAGCAGCAAGCTATTCAGTTTGGGACCTGAAAATGTAACTTCTATTTCTTTTTATCATGCATCAAGAGTGGGAAATCAGCATTCTGTTCAACCACAGAATAAATCTTTGTCATGCGAAGCAGTGCCAATCAAACAGTAAAAACCTGGAGGCGACAGATAACATTAAGAAAACTCTAAGGCTTAATGTAATTATTTTGTCATAGTTACTAATTTGCAAATCCATTACAACTTCTTTGTAAGTCCTAGATGTCCTTGCCTGCTTTCCTCACATCACCTTTTGTATTCTGTTCAAATTATACCAGATACACTTTCTCATACCATGTCTTTTTCCAGTTACTTATCTGAGTGTTAATGTTTTCTTATTCACTTCACCAGAAGCATATCTTTTGGGCAGTGGTCTAAATGGATTCAGATATGAATCTGTCTAGTGGTCAGGATGTGGTAATAAAAATAATAGTTAGGCAAATGCATTGTTTACTATGATTTTGAACTTTGAAAATAAAAATATTTAATAGTTTTCTCCTTGTCACCCACCTGGGAACAGCACAGTAAATGCAAGATATCTTTAGTCAGTAGTTACCATTTCTTGATGCCCTGTGCTCCTGCTCTGGCAGGGGGACTGGAGTAGATGATCTTTTGAGGTCCCTTCCAATCCCTGATATTCTGTGATTCTGTGATTCTATGTGTTCTTCTACAGTGTCAGCTGCTGTCTCTGGGACACCCTCCAAAGCCCCGTCCTGGTCAGGTTTTCTCTTTATCTTCTCTTCTCACTGTACATTTACGGTATCTGGACTGTCTTTGTTCTGTACTCCAGGACTTGTGTGTTGCCTCGTGCCCCTTTCCCCTGCTCTACCCATATGAGCTCCTTTTCTGGTACTCTTGTGTATCTCGGGGACTTCCTTGGCTGCCCTGCTTCCCCCTCTGTAAGCACAGTCCCTCTCAGTGCTGTTGCTGTTTCTTTTTGCCTGGAAGACCTTGACGACACTGGGGAAATGAATAGAGTTGCTGTTTGGGTGCAAACAGTGATCATCCGTTCATTCCATCTGTGGATTGTGGCAAGTCCACTGACATTAGGTTGGGGACTCTGCGGGTAACCCCTGCCTCTTTCCTGGTTTTCTGCCTCCAACAAGAGTCAGCTGGGTTGTGCTGAATGAATCCTGATCCCCTCCTTGAAGCTTTCAGATTGATGAGAGATGGTGAGTATATTGACACTCACCCACGACACAGAAACAGGCGTGAAAGTGCCGTGTATCTGAGCATAGGGACCTACTCTGTTTGGGTTAAAATTGGTATATCAGTGAATCGGGGACTGTGGTAGTGCAAAATTTTCTGTGTCATTTGGAACACAAGCACTGTATTTTGCAGTCACTGTGATAAAGTGTGTAACTTATGTAGCTAATTGCCATAAATGAGAATTTCTGTATAAAAAATTGCCTTGGGTGCAGCTGGTGTTTCTAGGCAATTAAAATGCTCCTACAGCTCAACAGTTCTTAATCCAAGTTCAGGGCAGCTTATTTAGTTATTAAAATCTTAGAGATTTGTAGTTCTTCTAATCTTTGGAAATAGTGCTTAAGGATTTAGCTTCTGCTGCCCACAGTGGGAGAAGGGAAAAGCCAGCCATGCAAGTAGATTTGGTAGGCTGAATTGAACTGGCAGAATATCCTGCCTTGTACAGGATTGTATGTGAGTATAAGTAGGAAATCTGTTTACATTCATGAATTTTACTCAGGTAAAGTAGTCCTAATGAGCTACATATTAGTTTTATATATGCTGAATTTAAAGCAAAGGCCACTTCTCTGTCTTGTTGATATGCTTTCAATTCGGAGATACTCAGATTCTGGTCAGCAAACCTGCTTGGCTGCTTGTGTTGTAGAGGTTTACAAGAATAATTAAAATATATTTTCAACTCCTGCTTAATATTATACACATAGGACTGGAGTAAGTAGATACTGTTCTCTGTTGTGTAATCAGCTTTTAGTGGGTGATTATCTGCTTTGAAGACCGGTAATGTTGCATGCTTCTGAGTGCTGGTGTCTGTGTCAAGAGTGATATTCCTGTCCTGTGTGCTTCACTTACTTTGCTCTGTCAATTATTACCTGTTACTGCCTTTATGTTACCCACTGGAGCTCAGCATTCAGTTTTCAGTGGGGAGGGGGTGTGACCTCATCTTGACATACTGTTTTAAGGATCCAAATTACGTGATTTAAATATAAACACATTTATGGGGTGGGGGCGCATCTGGATTTGAATATTATGCCCTTTCCAGCTAACTCTGGAAAGTTTTACTTAGTCACTTAAGTATCTCAACAGTATGCTTCATAATGAAGTGTATACATGACTGGGGGAAATGTGGACTGCAGCTGGGTCTAAGGATTTCTGTAGTCATCCCTGTGCTTATGCTACTGTCATGTTAGGAAAAGAAGTAAGCACCTTGCCTCTTAAACTCATTTTATTATGTTCCTTCTCCACCAAATCCATCTACATCTTGGGTTTCTGCCCATCCTTGTACATTCTTGGACTTCACCTGCCACTGCAGTGTGCCGGTTCTCCTCTCCCCAAACGTGCTATGACAAGTGCAGCCTTTCCTCCAGCTCTTCTTCGCTCCACTCTACTGACACTGGTTTTGCCATTCTTTTTTTTTTTTTTTTTCCTTTTCCCTTGACAGATTCTAGGCTGCATACTCAGTTCTTCTCTTTCTCAATCTTCTGCTGGCTTCACTAGTTGGCACAGTTCCAAGATTTCTTCCCTCCTCTGCATTTTAGTGCGTCCTTCAACCTTTCTCACTGCAGGGTGATTATGGAGAGTTCACTTGCTGGGTCCTGTCTTTCCACGTTCAGCCTTTTCTCCAGCTGTTCTGCAATTATTAAGAGCAAATACCAGCACATTTTGATGTTTTGTGGGCCAGAAGCACAAAGTTATATTCCTGTTTGTTTCTGAGTTTATATTTTACTTTGCGTCTTTTCATGATGTGCACTCCCACTTGTCAGTGTCTTCCTATACTCACTGATAATCCTTCCTGTACTGTTTTGTAAATCCAGTGTCTCTCTTTTCTTTCAAATATTTCCTGAGACTGATTTCTGCAAAGATAACAAATTAAGTCGTCTAGGCACAGTAGACAAGATTTTACGGTGAATGTGTCATGTTCAACTCCATACTAGTTACCATTTGTGGCCATAGCCTTTTCTTTTGCAGATGAGCCCCCAATATGTAATTTTCACTGCTTAAGTGATGTTTTGCTTCAGCTTTGTATGTAGAAAATTATGCAAGGCATACAAAAGAAAAAAAAAAAAAGAAAAGAGAGAGAGATGGAAACCTCTGCTCTGTTTTGGAAAAAAAAAAAAAAAAAGTAAAATTAATCTAATCTGACTGCTTCTGTTTGGGTACATAATTTTGCACTCAGATATGCAGGTACTTAGGCAACCTTTACCTGTGTAATGACTTGAGAACCCATAGACAGTTGTTGCTGAATAGGCAAGCAAGCCATTTTACTCAGTAAATCTAAACTTCCAGACATGCATGCTTAAAAGAATGTGACTTTAAAGTTCAAATTATGCTAAGATATGAGTTTAAGTTCATAATATAATTAGTATCTAATACGGTGGGATGCAAGGGGTAATGGCTTTAAACTGGAAGAGGGGTAGGTTTAGATTAGATATTAGGATGAAGTTTTTCACTGTGAGGGTGGTCAGACACTGGAACAGGTTGCCCAGAGAAGTTGTGGATGCCCCCTCCCTGGAAGTGTTCAAGGCCAGGTTGGATGAGGCTTTGAGCAACCTGGTCTAGTGTAAGGTGTCCCTGCTGATGGCAGGGGGGTTGGAACTAGATGATCTTTAAGGTCCCTTCCAACCCAAACCGTTCTATGATTCTGTGATTCTATAAAGGCGCATAAGATAGCTGATCTATTGTAATTTCAATTAATAATATTTCTGATTATGAATGGAATTAAATGTATATTTCAGTATAAGGAGAGACTATATGCACGGCTGTTAATAAAGAAAAAAATGTAATTTAGGTAATTGTGACATATTTGACTGTCTTTTCAAAATCTCCTCTTATCCCACTTAGCAAAACTGATATTATTGTTGATACCAGCTGCTCCTGACTTGCTTGCTTCAGTTGACGTGTGCTGTCTCGCTTCCTAAATCACCTGGGCACCTTTCTATGGTGTACATTCGAATAAAATTACTTTTAACCTTGAACTGTCAGTTTTTTAGAGCTAAGAAATTTTAGCCCAAATATTCTGATTTTCTTTGTATCTTTACAGTAGCTGATGGTGTGAACAAAATACAATATGAACCTCTAAAGTGATGATAATTTCTGTGAAAGCAGTCGACTTGCTGCTTATTCATTATAAGAACTTGTCTGTTTTGTTTCATTTTAATCCCACAGATGTATTTAGTGATTTTTCCAGAGGGGACTCGTTACAATCCAGAGATACCAAAAGTCATTGCAGATAGTCAATCATTTGCTGAAAAGGAAGGTAAGCAAAAAAAGTTTTGAAATCATTCTCTTGTTACAGTTTTAACATATGTTATCTAAAATTTTTATATAATATGAAGATGATATCACCTTAACTGGACTATTAAGCCTGCCTGATTGATACTTAAAGGTTAGGATAGCATAAGCCAACGTTTCTCTTACCAGAAAGTAAGATGAGAGTAGCTTATATACAGATATTTCATGCATTTCACATTTTGCAGGAGTATTATTTCTTAAGAAAGCTCTCTATAGTTTCTCTCTATATCTATGTGTTTATAGACACTTTTTTCCTTGCTCCTTCAGGGATATAAGAATTACCTATGGGGCACTGTTCTAAGTTTACATTATAACTCGAATTACAGTTGTTACTCAATATAAAGACTACTTTGCATAGAGATTGTTGTGCTTTAAAATAAAAAGTCTTCAATCACTTAATTTTTAATTACTGTTAGTACTACCATGACTTTTTGGTTTTGTTCGTCTCTCACCTTCCAGTCTCGCCCTTCCTTGGTTGAACTTCATTCTGTAGTCACTGATTGTTGGCGTCGTCTCTATAACCACAGATGGAATTACTTCATCTTTGGAAAGGCTTGCAAAAAATCTAAGGGTCCCAAGCTTTTTCATTTTTCTCACATCATATGCACAATACAAGTAAACTTTTAAGTCCAGCAGTTCAGCGAACGTGTTTCCTGGTTTTGTTTTTTCCTGTTGACCAAAACTGAAATAATTCACTCTGAAGGTAAACAAAGAATAACAAGTAGGTCTGGTAAATTCATTTCTGTGACACACTGAAATGAATTCACAAGTCTGTGAATCAGCCTGTTGATATCATCAAGCTATTAAGTATTGTTAGCTCTTGTCCAAAAGGACACATGCTTTTATTCTCCTCCTTGGGAAGACTGGAATTTGTTTGCGTGTATGAGCAGGAGAGCTTAAGTCATAATGTATTTATTCTTCGCTTCAGTTTCCTGTCGGAAATGAAAGTCAGATCTTTCATTTAGGTTGGCAGTTCTTTGAGAGTTCAGAGGGAGTGTTTGATAGGCATTTTTTTTTCTTCTTTCCTCCTTTTTCAGGGAAAAGAAAGGGTTCTTATCGACATTATTATTATTTTAATATATGTCTTAATTATATCTCTGTAGTCTGCAAAACAGTAAAACACTGCTTTTGTGCTTTCAGAGCACCTGTTCGTTTCTTCTAGTGCTTTTCTTTCCAGTATTTATCTGCTTTTATTTTGTAAAAGTTACTCCTTTTAAAAATTTTCAAGACAAATATTTATTAAACAGGAAGCATTTTCTGTTCTAGCGCAGAATCCTCCTGACCTGCTTTTACCCGTTGCTAAATTCTTTTGTTGTTGGTCTCTCCTCAACTTTTTATGCAGAGAGAATGGGAAGCAGTCTGCATGGGGCCCTGCTCCCCTGCACGTTCATGCTTGAGCTAGAGCATCCCTTGCACAAGGATGCTGGGAAGCAGGGATGGCTGACACTTGAAAGCTGCATGTAAACTATTCTGTCAGATAAGAGCCACAAGGCATGTACCAGTACACTGGGGAGCTGCGAGGATGGGGAACTGCGCATGGCCGCTGGCGGGAGATGACAGTGACTCCCCAGGGTCCTGCCACACTGCTGTGCAGCGGTGCTGGCCCCAGCTTGGGGCTTAAACCCAGTAGCCCCAGTGCCATCACAGTCCTGGCTGCTGGCCGTGTGCCAGGGCTGCAGTGTGGGAGTCGTGACGAGACACCTCGCTGGTCGGTCACGTGTGGATTGGGTGCTGGCCACACTCCTTGTGAGCGTGCGAGGGCTGTTGTGTGACACTGCTGAGCTGAACGCAAAACGCACGATTGCATGCTTGTCTGAAAGATCCCAGAGGCTGCTTATTTCCTGCTGTTTTAGGAAAGGTAGTAATGCCCAGTAGTTCTGCCAGTCAGAGGAGTGAGGGCATAATGTAACTTATAGTTTAAAATTTGTACTTCATTCCTTGTGAGGATATAAAGAAGTCTGATAATTTAGTCTTGTCGTCCTAGTGTATTTGTTACAGAGAGCAGTGCTTCAGTGTTGGCTCTACAGACATGTAGGGGAACTTTTTATTTGTTTTATACCTTGAAATGTAAGCTTTATAATGATATCTTTTTTTTCTACATTTTTTGCACAGTTTTATGTTGATAATGTAGTAGAAGTGTAATATTGGAAAAAGCGGTTTAATTAAGAAGAATTCAACTTCAAATTGATGTTAGGACCAGAGATATTGTACCCAAAGCTGACAAAGCTATTCCTAGAGTGGAAGCTTAACTCTTGTTTATCATGCTGTCTGAAACACTGTTTTTTACATAAGTGTGTGTATATGTTTTCATAGTTTTGCAGAGAGGAAATATGATAAGGTTTTGTGGGTTTTGTGCTTACTTTTACTCTCCATGGGCTGGATTATCTTCTAGAGAAGCTTCATTGGTTTAAGCAGAACTATTGTGCTGAACTTAATTACCTGGTCTTCATATGACCAGCTGATGATTTGCATCTCATATCTTGTTGTTCTTTCTAAGTAAACATCAGTTTTGGACACAGTTACTGCCTCTTTACAATTGCTCCTAGGACCAGTTCAACAAAAAGATTTTTTTTTTTAATTTAATTTTATTTTTTTTTAAAAAGGCTTAGGTTGACATGCAAAGGAATGTTTTAACATTGCTGGTTTAAACTATTATGTCTTTCTTCTTTGATGTGAATATATAAATAAATCTTATCTCTATATGAATAGGATGGAAGGATATTAACACAGGTTGCCCTTGAAAGGCAGTCAGCTTTTAAAAATACTGATAATACATCGTGTTACAGCTTGTTCTTCCATAGGACTGCAGTTCTACACAAAATCTTGACTCCTAGCAAGAGCAGATAGTTTTCCTCTTTCTGAAACACAAGTGAATCAAACACACAGGGTAGATCAAATAGATCTGGGTAAGAGTAAGTTGAGACTGAAGGCTATAAAGCACAGAGAAAATTCCAGGGAAGGAGAAGGATCATGTACTTTCTTACTACTTTTAGAAAGAAGGATATCATGCAGTAAAAAATGGAATGCATGGACTGGTCTTCCAAATTTGTCATTAACTACCTTGCCAAGTTCAAGTTGAATGTACTGCCAGGTTTTTGTTTATTAAAACCAAAGAATGCCAAAAACATCTTGAGGTAAAATTTATAAAATTAAGGCATTAATATTAATGGTTTTCAGGTTGAAGACTGACACATGTGTATCAGCCTTCAGCACTGATAGATTTGATGCAGCAAAACTCTATTTAAATTAATTTGAATCTGTCCACAATTGTATTCAATGAGATATGGAAAGTTGATTACTTCCAGGAATACTGGTTTTATCATGATGAACTAAGAATGTGTTCATATAAGGGTAATGCTAGTACCCACAGAAACTGGAGATTACTCCTTCTACACATTTTACAAGTGGTAGAAAATTCCAGTCAGGTCAGATTCTTACCCAAGATAGAACAGGAAGCATTTTAAACTCAAAATGCATTTGTTTGATTGCATTGGGGAAGAAAAAATGTGCTTCCCAGAGTTTAAAAACAAAAGCAAAAATTACCTCTTTAAAACTAATTTGTTTGGTTATTTGTGGTAGGATTAATAGAGGAGTTATTCACAGAACAATTTAAATTCTGTAGAGTTGAGAAAATTAATCCAGCATTTATCTTTGTTGACCAAAATAGCAGTACTTGCTGGGGTTTCACAGCCACAGCAAGCCATGTCAGCAGTGTTGCCAGATTATCAAATGGAGACGTATCAGGTTTTCTCATTTCTGTCAGAGGCAAATGAAACCCCCCACTTCAAAGCTGATGGGGCTATGTGCCATGTAGCTGGATTTGAACCTGATACACCTCGGTGTCCTCTCCTGACGGAAGGTAGGTGGCTGTGTGAGATGATTCCAGCAATAGCTACCAGGATGGGCTGGCTCCCCCTTTCCATGTTTCAGTATGGTTGTTGGTGACTCCTGTTTCTAATGGGACATCTTGTAAGCGTCTCATAATCAGATTAAATATTTCTTCCTATACTCTCTTGAAGATCTAAGAATGTGACAGCATGTGTTTTACCCCTTGTGTCCTGAGCTTTTGCCTTCCAGTTTTCAATATCCAAGTATATAGTCAGTATAAGTCAATCTTGGCTTAAGAGTTCGCTTTAGTTTTCCGTTGTACGCAAGTAGTCAGCTAATGAGTCTCCCATCTTCAAAATCTGATGCATTCATTCAGTTGACTTACACATTGGTGTCCTCTTTTAGGCTCCGATCTATTAGTTTAGGTGTCTTAAAAGTGCAGAAGTTCTTCCATGCTAGCCAGTGGGCTTGAGTTGCTGAGTCCAGGGAATTATAATATGTAGGTGGCACTCATGTTTTCATAGGGATTTAACCCCAATCTTGTCATAATGTTAGAAGTGGCAATTTTTATTTTATGTATTTTTTTCAAATTGTATATCTTTTAAGCCTGTTTCTTTTTAATGGTACTAGACTATAGAACAAAATTTGTATAGAACCCACAAAATACATGATTATTGCTTTTTGTACAAACTTCTAGTATAAAATTTGTTCCATTTATATGTTCCCAAAATATGTATGTATAGATTTCTCATAATTTTCTAGTAGTTAGACTTCTATAATGTTCCAAACAACCACAATTTTCTCAGGTTTAGTAGAATATTAACTTTATCAAAATGTTAAGAAATGGCATTTTAAAAATTTAAAAATAAATAGGAATAATCCAAAACCCTCCTCCTACTCCTGATGTTACTGACTCTGAAAAGACAAAGAAAAAGGGGTAAGAAGATTGTTAAATTTAACTTGGCTTGCTTTTGCTGAATGAAGACAAAACAATCTTCCCTGGTGAAAGGCATTTATGGAATTTTGCATTCATGTTTGATTTCTAACAAAGGTCATTTAATCAAGCAAACATTTCAGGTATTCATTTATCTCCCTTGTTTTTATGCAGAAAAGTTGCAAATGGAAATGTTTTTTTAAATGCTAAGTTTCTCTTGACTAGTATCATGCTTTCTGCTAAGATGTTTGTACGTGCAGGATATGCTTATCACAAAATTGCTTTTACAGGTCATGTAAAAAAGAGGTATTTCAACTGAGCTACTCAAAAATGTTTCCCTTCTAGATCTTGGCATTGATTTTAGATTGTATTTTAAAGTAATCTGAAGTATTTAGTATCCATAAGTGTTATTTGGAACTGTCTCTAAAGAAAATCGCTTTTGGTGATTTTTTTTTTTCCACACACTTGTATGTAAGCAAGCTTGATGTAAAAGTGCACAGGGAGATGAGGAAGGGAGAATATAATTCTTAAAAAGAATGTGGGGGGATATCTTGAGTAACATTTGAGAGACATACCATTAGGAAGAAGAAAATATTTCTGTTATTAAATGTCATCCTTAGGAAATTAGGTTTAGGAAAGGAAGAAGTTACTATATCCTCTTTTTGAGGGGATTACTTGCATTTCTTGTAGTTTAGTTGATGGTAACAGAAAACACTTTTTACAAGAGCATACAATTTTTTAGTACTATCATCAACTGAGTCCTATTTATGTAAGTCAGTGGAATACTAGCGTACAAATGGATGAGCTCTCCTACCATATGGATGAAGGGAACAGAGATTTTCTCCATAGAGTTGTATTCAGTTATTACATATGCAACTTCTCCCTGAGAGGTTATGTAAATGATGTTCTGTTTGGTGTTTTTTGTCCTTTTGTGTTTAGATGAAAAATTCAGTTCTGTGGGTGTTAATGACTTGGGCCTTTGTACTTCCCAAACAAAAACTTTATTTCATTCAGTTTTCATGGAGACCTTCTGAAGTACTTCTGCATCTTACTGTAGTAAATGGATGAGAATTGAAGTACCATTGCTTATTGTATTTTGTCAGATTTTCACATTGTTTTCTCTTTTTTTTAATGTCTATCATTTAAAAGTTAGCTAACATAGAAGAGCAAAGCTATAGCATTTTAAGGTAGAATATTACATATTAGACATCTAGCTCATTTTCTTTGGCATTGAAAATAAAATCTCATGACCTCAAATACTTTGACAGAGTCCAAACTTAGTATTGCACAACATTAAAAAGAGTTTAAGCACAGTGTGTTTTGTGAATTGGATGTAAGTAGCTTGCCAGGGTAATGATACTGTAACTACTTGGGTTTAAATTCTGTTATGTTGATTTTAGCAAAGATCATCAAGTAATTGCAAGAATGTGTGGTTAATATTTTTTTATAAAACAGATTCTTTAAAAGGATGTGCTGAACTCCTGTTGTTGCTGCATGTTTGTCACGTGCTGAAGTGTTTCTGAATAATGGATTATGGAATTTCTTCATTGATTTTAATTAGTTGCATACTCATTTTGTACTTAAACCTTCAAGAGTTCGCTGTCAGCACGTGGAGTAAGAGGAGCTTATTCTACAGTTGCACAGATTGTCACTGACCATCACCAAAAGTGGCCATGGATTGAAAAAAACTCAGCACCAAACACTCTTAGATACCAAAATAATATGTCTAGAGGATTCATTTCTACTGAAGCCTGTTTTCCCTGGCTCTTCCCCACAGTAATAGTTTGGTTAAGGGGAAAATGAGTTGGGCAGGAAAGGAATGACAGTGTTTTTAGAATATGTTTGGGAACTGGGATCAACAGAGTTGTGTTGAGTGGAATGTGCACACTAATATCATTGCTGACACAACACTAGAATATTCAGTGCTTCATTTACAGAGGAAACATTTGGAAACATAACATAATTAGCTGTTTGATGTAACAGTTCACAAGCTAAGAAAACACTACCACCATGTTATGCTTCAAAATATTTACATGATCCATATAACATTTTGCATAGACAGTTATCACTATTGCCAGTAAAGCTTAGCACAATGACTTCAGAAGGAGTGCTAGTAAATAACTTTTTATCTCTATGTTCAGACAAGGAGATTCTTAGCAAATATTAAGAAATCAAGATATTTATTTAAGCTGAAACTTTGAACTATAATAATGTTAGAACAGTTTAGAAATTAGCATTATCTTACATAATTTTAGATCAAAATATGCTTTGCCCAACAAGGGAGCAAATTTGAGTACAAAATCAAGACATAATATAACATCTTTTGAATTGATTTTGTGGTCTGAGAGATATGAAAAGCAATACCACAGTACTTTGGTTTAGAAAAATTTCTACTTCATCTATCAGGAACAAATAGGGCCCATGAATGGTTCTTTAAAAATGGACTGAAGAGTAAGCCAATGAAAAATAGAGCTAGAAAGGAATAATTGCAATTTTATTCTGATACTTCTCTTTCTCAAAGATACACATCTTACAGCAAAATAGTGAAAATTTTTGCATAATATGTTGTTTGTTTGGTTTTTTCCTGGAAGCACTTTCAAGTAAGTGTGGAAGAGCTGTGTTCAGATCATTAAAAGGTTTGGGGCTTTTTCGGTTTATTCTCATTTTGAAAGTCATTGTATATTAAAATTCTGGAAATAGAATAGAATTTATGCTTTTGAGCCCAGTGTATTTGTTTGGTTTTAAGTATGCTCTAGGTGGAAGTAGTCAGCTGAAGCAAACATGGATATGACAAACTGTTAAGATTTCTGGAGTGCCGTTAAATCTGATGCTCTTGCCATACCAGTCTTGGTGTCTTGGCCTGGATTGTTAAGGACAACAGTTGATTTCTGTGACTATGGATTTGTTAGCAGCCAAGTCAGTTGTAATAGGTTGTTCACAGGGAAACAGAGGAGGTTCCCTCCTTGCTGTTGGTTCTTGGTGCTATATTTTCCCTCTCCCTGCTTAGTTTTCTGCTGGGATGGTGAGTTGCATCAGCCGGTGGGAGGGGAGTGCCAGAGCAATAGAAGGTTAGCAGCAGGAACAAGCACACAGAAAAGAACAGTAAGGGAAACAACTGCAGGGATAGAGTGCAATGTCCCATTTTCTGTAGTGGCAAGTCATGGCAGTGGGCTGAAGCTGTCTTGAGTCTAATTGCTTTCCCCCATCCTTCCCCAAAGTGAGGACCCTCAGAGTAACCATATCTAATGTCCTAGAATGTGCCATTAGGAAAGGGAAGCAAAAGCAGGGAAAACTAGAATCTGTAGTAGAAAATAACAAAACACACTGAACGTTCTGATCACATGGTGGCTTTGGAGAAATACAGCATCCTGTTTAAGCATGTTTTTGTTACCATGGCATGATATTAGGATTCAGTAAGTTGACAAAATTTGTTTGTCCTTTGGAAGTAAAATGCTGGATGAGCATTGGGCGTGCTTAAAATTATCTGTGCTTATTCCTCACCTAACAAATGTGTTTCTGATACAGAATTTCAGGAGGCAGTGTCCTGTGTGTTTAGTATTGCTCAGTTAATTTGCTCTTTTTTTAAGTTCAGTTGGACAAATATAAACAGTAAAGAGAAGTGCTGTTTCATCGCTTATGAGCTACATTAAAACCATCACTGCTTCTGCAGCAGGAGCTGTGAAAAGGACTCTTTTGTTGAGCAGCCTTTTTGTCGTTAATATCCTGTAGGATTTCTGTTCCATCTTCTACATGTGCTCAGTAGAGCATATGCAGTGTGCACACGTGCACACACTCCCTCTCTCAACTGAGAATTGAGATTGAAAATAAACCTTTTGTGATTTTGAGTGGGGGTGCTGAAATTCCTTGGCATGATGTTCCTTTTGTGAAGGTAGTCCAGTTTACTTTCAAACACTAAATATTTTTTTTTCTCCTCTAGGACTTGCTATATTAAAGCATGTGCTAACACCACGTGTGAAGGCAACTCATGTAGCCATTGATACAATGAAAGACTATCTGGATGCAGTGTATGATGTGACTGTAGCTTATGAAGGTACTGTGGACCACAAAGGGCAAAGAAAACTGGCACCATCTATGACAGGTGGGTTGGTATAGGTTAGATGTGCTACAGCCATATACTTGTTACTATACAGAACCAACTTCAGGTGCTTTGTAAGGCTCTGAAGATAATCTTCACAGTGCTTCAGCTATCTCACCACACCCTGGTAGGACATTGTTCATCAGTGACTAGGCTTTACAATAGTTACTTGTGACATTCTTGCCCTCTCCTTCTCTACTCTATTCCATGCAGAGAATATTTCTGTAGTCAGATTCTGCATGCAGGTGCTCTTTAGAGCTAAAATGAAATTGAAGCCATAGGCAGCAGGTGCCATTTACCTTCACGTTTCTTCTA